CTTGGGAACTTGTGAAGCTGGTTCCCAGTACCAAAGGAGTCATTTCCCTTACCACTGGCAGAAAGGACAAATGGCTATCTGTGGTGCCTGTTAGTATACCAGGCTTCCCAGCATCACAAATGCCTATTACACATTTCACTGTCCATGCTAACATCCTCCCCCTTCTCACCGCCTCCCCTGCCCTAAACTCCCTCCTGCTCATGGCCTTCCCTGTCCCCAGCTCCTCATTCTCCTTATAACCCTGCTATTCCAGCTGTGCTGTCTTGATCTTTTCTTCTACCAGCACTCTGTCTTCATCTTCCACCCTTCCCCATACCATACCATCTCTCTCCCTCTCTCCCTCTCCCCCTCCCTCTCTCCCTCCCTCCCTCTCTCCCTCCCTCCCTCTCTCCCTCTCTCCCTCTGCTCATTCTTCTCTCATGGCCATATCCAATCTCCTACTTTCTCTCTCCACTCTGGATCCTTACAGATGGCTCTTCTCTGGCTGTCCTCTAGCTGTGCTCTCTCTCATAGCCACAACAAAATACTTCCCCTTAACTATACCCTGGAATAGTCATGATGTCAGTTTATACAGCAACCATCTCTCCACTGTGCTAATTCAACCTTGATTTTGTTTTTTGTTTCTTTGGGGTTTTTTTTTTGGGGGGGGGAGTGAGAATTTTTGAGTTTGGAGAATCTTTCCCTTCTCCAGAAATGCTTCGGTTCTGACCATCTGCTAAGTGGATAGATATCTCAAACTCTGGTGCCAGGTGTAGCATTTACCCCAGATTGAACTGCCAGTCTCCCTTGAGAGGAGCAGTGTTGTTAATCCCACTGGACAAGAATAAGACCATTGCCACAATTTTTGAGCCAAATTTGAAGCAAGTTTTATTAAATACTGGCCAGGACAATGGACACTGGCCAGGTCCATACCCAGGATTCTCAGAGAATGGCCACAAATTATGTTAGTCAAGTGATAATAAAGGCAAAATCCCAAATCTACACACTTCCTGCTTTTGTCCAATTAGGGGCAAGCACATATGATGTACTTCCTGCCTACATACCTCCCTCCTATGTGTGATTGAGCACATCCTGTGCAAATCAGGCAATAAACCATATTTACAAAAGTGAAAACACATGGCTTGTTATCTTACATGAACAACAGCCTCTAGCATTCCAGGAAGTTATCTGTCCTTGGGCCAGTTAGGCTGGCAGGTTAGAGGCATTTGTTTCATAGAATGCTTAAGCACAGTAATTTAAAATGTAAAACATAACTGTAGCCTTCACAGTGTAGACAGCTTTCTCTTCTCAATGAACCCTCTTACTGAACAGAACCATTGTTCATGGGGGACCTGTTTTCTGTCAGGAAGAATCTCCTATCTCACTCCAACAATCCTCTAACCACCTTGAGGCTTTTTGGCCTGTCTCCTCAACAATGTTTCTGCTGTAACGCAGCCTGGCAGTCATACCCATCATCAATGGCTGTTGCTGGCCAGAGGGTGGCATGTTTGACTTCCTGATTCAAAAGGACCTTACATCAACACAGTGGAATATGATCCAAGCTTCCTGCACTGAAGTCTTGTCTTTCTCAGCTTCTACTCTCTGCTCATCCCATTCCACTTTCAGGTTGTCATTCTCCATAACACCCTCCCTGCCTCTCTCCGAGATCTCTTTCCTAATTTGTCCTGTCCATGTTCTTTCTCTTGCCATAAAAGTTGCCTTTCTCTGCCAATTGCATGCTGCTTTCCACAACCCATTATCAAAGATCTACTTCTCAGAAAAAAACCTCTTTCCTCCTGCTGGCTAGTGAGCAACTGCTACTTTCCTTCCTGGGGAAACCTGCTTCCTTATCAAACCTCCTGTCCCCTAACTACACACTCATGCTCCTAACCAAACTCCTGCTTCCTAACCAAATTCCTTCCTCCTTATCAAGCCCCTGTTCCCTTACCAGACTCCTGCCCCTCTCTCTTCTGGGCTCCTGCCCTCACCAGAATTTCTGTTCCTCTCTCCCTTCACCCTGATAAGCCTCTGAGTTCTCCTGGACCCCTGTTCACATTCACTGTGCTGATCTTTAAGTTCACCCATTTCTAAAAGAGTAAACTGAGGCCCACAGAAATGTTTATATGTTCCTTTTCCCCCTTAACTTACCAAACACCCCTCCTCAATGGGCACCACTCAATCCCCCCTACCTAGGGAGTCCCCCTTGACTGTTTTGTTTATAATCTTAAACTTACCTATTGAAGGGGGGCAGCTCCACTTACGCATGTTTTCTGGGTTTTTCGACTGCCATGTAATAAGGCCAATAGCTTTCCTCTATAAGGCACAGTTGTTGACTACCAGACTGCCACAGCTGAGTTCTTTGGTTTGGGAGGAAGTTATTTCCCACAATGTACCTTCTAGATTCATGTCACCTATTCAGGTGGGAGACTGGAGATCCCAGCCCCATTGAGTCTTAATGCCTACTCTCTTAGCACAGCCATAAACTAAGATCTATCTTTTAAGTGTGTGATAAGAACACATAAGTTCAATTCTCTCAGGACATTTCAAATATCTAATATAGCAGTTCTCAACCTGTGGGTCATGACCCCACAGGGGCCACAGATCAGATATCCTGCATATCATGTATTTATATTACAATTCATAACAGCAGCAAAATTACAGTTATGAAGTGGCAATGAAAATCATTTTGTGGTTGGGGGTCACCACGACATGCGGAACTGTGTTAAAGGGTCACAGCGTTAGGAAAGTTGAGAACCACTGGTCTAATAGAACACCACTAACTATGTAACCACACTAGACAATAGATGGCCAGAATTGATTCATCTGATGACTAAAAGTCCAGATCTTCTCACTTCATGATGGATTTCCATTCCACTTTGAATTCTTCCCATGCTCTGATCTATGGTATAAACTTCACCTCTGAGTTCTTCCACATAAAGCCACCTTTCTAAAAAGTCAAAGCTGCCCCCCCCCACATACACACATACACACACACCTACAGAGAGCCACGATTTTAACTCTGGTTCGAGGATTACAATGTTCTCCTTTGAGCTGGAAAGTCAGTGAAGTGACTCTCTCCTGATGCTGCTCTGCTGCAGTATGTCTCTGAATACTCAGTGGCTATGTGACTCTGGTGTGATGAAAGGGGGAATGGCTGATGACAGATTCTCTATCTGCCTGTCAGTAGAGACCCTGACCCTTCTACTAGGACCATCTGTACACAGCCCATTTCAGCAGAGCCCCGCCTGCTCGTCCGTTTACCCAGGCAGCGGCTGCTGTGTATCTGATCATCCTCGGCACCTGGTCAAGTCCTCACGCCCGAGTGGCACCTGCTCACCCAGTTCAGTCCTTTATCAAGACAGTTAGATGGTGTGACAGTTTGTGATTTGACTTCCGTTTATCTCTCCAGAGTCACCCTTTATCTGTCCCCACCTGCTCTGGGATGCTGGCTTCTAGGACCCCCATCAACCCCCTCCATTGACCTTTAGCCTTGGCCAATGAGGCAACCAATGAGGAAAGGTGTTGGAGGACAGAGGATGAGAACCAAGGTCATCTCTCCTCTCAACCCCCTTTCTGAAAGATGAACTAAACTCGTTTGCTTCCCAGGAACAAAGGCCACAGCTGTCCAGGGTCTGATGGTCATCTTGCCCCACCCCTCAGGCCTAGGCTTGGTCACAGCCTACAGTGGCATTTCCATATGCCCTCCTTACACCTTTATCTTCTAGAGTAGGTGGGGCCCTTGCTCACTCCAAAGCAGACAGCAGAAGCTAGGGCAGCTTAGCAAACCATGCTGGAAAGCCTCCTATTTTTATCCATGCTCTGGAACATGCTAAATATTTAAAATTCTTTCTATTCTTTGAAGGTCAGAGAACTAATCTCTAGTGCCCTCTTGGCCTAGTATTTTCGGGATGAGACTATACTTCAGCAAATGTTAAAAATATTTTCCCACAACAGTCTCTTTTTAACTTTCCTCCTCAGTCCAGTGTAACTGCTATTTCCTAGAAGAAAAAATAATCACCCATTTTCTTAATCATTTAAAATTATTAGCATGTGATCACTTGCAGAATTTTCTTTAACTGCCTTTATCTCTGGAGAAATTGCCACCCAAGTAACAGAAGTTTGTATCGTATTCAAAAGAAGTTACAATTGTTCAAGAAGGAAAATGCTTGCAATCTTATGCAATCATTCCACGGGTCATGCTGTGTTTTAGTTGTTATTTTTAACCACTCAGAAAGTTTGTGCCTCTTTCTTATGCTTGAGAATGTCTGTGTCTTGTCAGTGCATACACTGTTGTGTAGAAGTCAGAAGACCACATTTCCCAGAGACCCCTATTGCTAGAATAGATATATGACCTGAGATTTAACAGTGAGCTTTACATAGAAGAAACTTAAGGATTTTAAGCTGTGAAGTACTGCCCCCCATGGTGTTGGCTTAAATGTGAAATCTCTCTCAAGCTTTTGTGTTCCTGGTTGGTGTCACCATGACTGGAACTACGTGGGAGAATCATGGCACAGGAGCATGCCTTTGAAGACTCTACTTAGTCCCTGTTCCCTCTCTCACTCTGTCTCCTGCCTGCCCCAGGGTGAGTAGACCCTGCCTTGTGGTCCAGTGATCACGATGTTTTGCCTCCCATGGGTCCAGAATCAATGGAGCCAAGGACTGTGGGCTGAAACCTCCAACACTGTGAAATTCAGCATCCACCTCAACCCCCGGAAGTTGCTGGTGACAGACATTTTGTAAAAGCAAAGGCAACTAACACAGTGGAAAGCCACCAGTGACACAAAATCTAACTCCCGGGAGCCACATTGGCTCAAAAGGAACAGTCAATGTCCGGCTTTAAGAAACAACTTAAATCCTAGACACTCAGTTGTGATAGGAAGACGATCTCCATGGAAACTGTTGACTTAATCTACATTACATAAGGCCTCCACGAGGCAGAAGTCAAAAGAGATGGCCAAATGAATGATTTTATGTCTTTTAGACAAAGAACAATGATGTATGAAGAAACAGCAGAACAAAGAGATCTCTGGACTACAATAATAAGTCCAAGGAGAGTCACAAGGAGACACCCGGGGAAGTGTAAAGACAGTGAAAAGCAGTGTATGTACTCGGGCCCATTGCAGCCATGGCGAGAAAGGCGGTTCCCCTGCCCTCGTACAGGGAAGGCTCTGTCTCAAAGGAGTTTTACGGATGCTGCCCACATGAAAAGTCAAGTCCGACAGCCTTTCTGCAGCTAGTTTCTCTGATGTTTTCAGCTTCCTTTAGATGTGGGCACACAGAAAAAAGCCACAAGGTGTGATGAACATTATTATTGTCGTGTGCTCTTTGAGCTCATGAGGAGCCGGCTGAGGAAGTAGGTTGCTGCCACCCTCCCCACCCAACACTTTAAACCAAAGCGTGTCTATGACAAGTGGTCCTTCAAGGCGCCTTGTCTCGGGGGTGGGGGGGTGGTCTGGCCCCTCTAACTCCGTGACAGGGAGGGTAGAGAACAGTCCAAGAATAAAAAAATCACATCCTTATAAACTGCTGGAAGGTAGATCATGTCCAACAGAGGCTACTTGTTTACTCCGTGATAAAAAAGTGTTTACATTGGGAGAGAGAAGCCGGGAGTCCAGCCATGGGAGGGTTATCAGTGGAATGAAAGCTCAATTAGCCACTCCAGCCAACGGCCTCAGCCCCGAGCCAATGTCTGCAGGATGTCTGTGGGCGCCCGATCCAGGGGTGTCCTCTCTAGCTATTGCTATTCTTTTTGGAAGCCTCACTTGAGGGGACTCTCTGCTCTGTCCAGGGCTCTCTCTATTGGAAATTCCAACTGACAGCCTCAACAGGGCTTCCCTGGTCAATTTCTGTTGGATGTTTTGAGCACCTGGTTCAATGATATTTTGTTGTCTGTCTGTCTGTCTGTCTAACTGCTACTTGCCATTTATTCTTTATTACTTTGGCTTGCTATATACTAATATGCTTGCCCATTCCAAACTGAAAGTATGGCAATCCTAGATCATTCTCTGGTCTGCGCAGGTAGGAGGAGGGACTTGGCCAGAGCCTTGATTGTGGACTTCTAGCTTCTATACTTATAAGAAAAAAAGTGTCTGTTGTTTGAGCCACTCAGTCTGTCATATTTTATTTGATAGTCCTAGCCTGCTAACACATTAATAATATCCCATATACTTACTTCCTGCTTGCATTTGCTGAAACGTACTCCATTATTCAAAACCAAAAACAATAATGCACTTTTTGTGATCACTGAAATGCTTTCCCAGCTCAAAACCAAAAATAATGCACTTTCTGTGATCGTTGAAACGCTTTCCCAGATGATATGGCTGTACTTCTATGATATTTATCTTCTTGCAGATTATGGATATAAACTGGGGATCCAATTTTTTAAAATGAATTTTTTTAAAATAAAAGTCACTTCAAAGCACCAGAAAGAGATCAAAAATAGGAAAATTTGACAGGTCCTGCTCGCAATGCATTAAACCTTTTCACCCAGTTGCAGCTCCCACATCCTTCTCCAGGGTCCAGCCTGCTGAGTTTCCCTGACTCTCCCCACCCATTTCTTCTCCCCAAACCACCAGATCCAGCCCAGGGTCCCACATGATTTATCTGGCTGCCCTTTCCCATGCTGCAACCCATTCCTAGGCTTCTGCCAAGGCCCACTCTACCTACTCCCCAACCCACAAGCCCCTCCTAGGCTACGTACAACCTTTCCACCCATTCAGATCTACCCCCACATTCTAGTCTGGCCCAGAAGGCACATCCTAGATACAAGCCCAGTTCCCCCGCCCACCTGATTTCATCTAACCCAAGCCATGTCCAACCTCAGGTCCAACCCATCTGTACGTCTTCTCTTCTGCCCTCTGTCCATAGCAGATGTAGACCTTACAAAAGAAGTCCACCTGGCCAGATCTCATCGCAGAAAATACCAATATGAAAGGTCAAGCCAACATTTTCTCTCTCAAACCTACCACTCCTGTAGAAATGTTTGCCAAAAAAAATTACCTAGATGGACCCCAGGATATAGAGTTTAAAAGAACTTTCAGAAACTTTATCCAAGAATTTAAGGAGGTTAAAGAAGAAGAAAAGATGCAGTTCAATGAAATAAAGGACAAAGAACTTAAGGAGAATACATGACTGAGTGATGCCCAAGAACACACACACACACACACACACACACACACACACACACACACACACGGCTGATGGAAACGATGATATCCAGGACTTGAAAATAGAATTCCAGAAGCAGATAGAAACAGTGAAGAGGACTCAAGCTAAAACCCTGGTGGAACTGGAAACCTACTAACTTAACTAGAAAACTCACCGGAAAGCCTTATAAATAGAATGGGTCCAGCAGCTCTTCCTTCCTATCTCTTGCTGTGAGAGTTTGCACCTCCTGCTTGCACGCTCTCTCTCTCCCTCCCTCCCTCTTTCCCTCTCTTCCTTTCTCCCTTCCCCCTTTAATAATAAAACTTTTCACATGAAAAAAAAATGAGTCAAACAGAAGATAGTATATCGGGACTCTAAGATGAAGCAGAGAATCTGGACCAAATTAGCAAAGATTATGAAAAAAAATTAAGAACACAGGAAAGGAACATACAGGAAATGTAGGATATCATAAGAAAAGAAAATCAAACCTTCAAACTATAAGCATTGATAAGGGGAAAGAATCCCAAGTCAATGGCATAGACCAGATCTTCAACAAGATCATAGAAGAAAACTTCCTCAAACTAAGGAAAGACACAAATATACAGATATAAGAAGCACACAGAACACTAAATAGACAAAACCAGAGAAGAAAATTCTAACAGCATATCATAATTAAAACATTAAATATAGCCAGGCGGTGGTGGCGCACACCTCTGACTCGGGAGGCAGAGCCAGGCGGATCTCTGTGAGTTCGAGGCCAGCCTGGGCTACCAAGTGAGTCCCAGGAAAGGAGCAAAGCTACACAGAGAAACCCTGTCTCGAAAAATAAAAAAAAAAAAAAAGGAAACATTAAATATACATAACAAAGAAAGTATAGTAAAAGTTGCAAGAGAAAAAACACAAGTCCCATATACAGGAAGACCCATTAGAAGGACAACTGATTTCTCAATGGAACTTTAGAAACCAGAAGAATCCGGAACAATGTATTCCAAGTCCCAAAAGACTATGATGGCCAACCTAGAATACATACCCTGCAAACTATCCACCATGAAAGAGAAAGAAAAAGTTGCAAAGATACTAAATGTTTAAAAAATTATATCTAACAAATAAAAACTAAAGAAAATACAGGAAGCATTATTCCTGGATAAAGAAAAGAAGGAGCAGAATAGAGAGACCATGGAAAGAAATATGAAGTACCACTGAAAACACAACACCAAAAATCAACAACACAATGACCTCAAGTAACACATATTTCAATAATAAATTTAAATACCAGTGGTCTAAATAATCCAATCAAAAAACACTGCCGGCTGAGTGGATCAAGAAACACAACTTTACAGACAGGGACCGCCTTAAAATAAAAGAGTGAACAGAAGAACTCCAGCCAAGTGGGACCACAAAGCAAGCAGGTATCACCATCCTAGTAGCTGACAAAATAGACTTCAAAGTAAAACTAATCAGAAGAGATAAAAGAGAACACTTCATTCTAATCAAAGAAACAGTTAACCAAGAAGACATTACTATCCTAAACATATACACACCAAACTCTGGGGTGTCCAATTTCATTTTTTAACAAATGTGTTACTGGATTTAAAAAGACAGGTTGACATCCATCAATCCACTTTCTCCAAAAGACAGGTTATCTGGATAAGCAGAGGAGTAATTGACATCATACATCAAAATCACTTAACATATATTTACAGAATACTACTTCCAAACGCCAAAGAATACACATTTACTCCACATGACATGGATGCTTTGCTAAAATAGACCACATCCTGGGACAGAAAACAAATCTTTATGAAATCAAAAAGATTGGAATCATTCCTTGTATCCTATCTAGCCACAATACCACAAAACTTAAAACTGACAGCAAACACATAATTCACATGATTCAACAACTCCTTACTGAATGTTGAGCGGGTTGAAGAAGAAACCAACAAAGAAGTAAAAACCTGCATGGAACTAAGTGAAAATGAAAACACAACACAACGAAACCTCTGGAGCTGTTGAAAGCCTCGCTACAAGGGAAGTTTAGAGGTCTAAGGGCCACATTAAAAAAAAATCAGAGAGCACAAATAAATAACTTAATGATGCAACCCAAAGAATCAGGAAAACGGAATCAAACCAAATCCAAAGCCAGGCAAATGCAAGAAATAGTAAAACCCAGAGCAGAAAGCTAAAATACAAACAACAACCAAAAATTGTTACTTACTATAGAATGTAGATTCTTAAATTCCATCTACTATACTGTGTGTGTGTGTGTGTGTGTGTGTGTGTGTGTGTGTGTGTGTGTGTGTATCTGAGAGCTGGTTCTATGAGACAATAATCATGAATGACAGAACCTACTATCCAAAAGAAAGAGAGGCCCCCAAATTAATTAAGAAATAAACAGGGAAACAGACACCAGAGAAATAGAGAATATCGTAAGAGACTGCTTTAAAAACCTGTGCTTGACTAAGACAGAAAACCTAAAAGAAATGGGTGAGTTTCTAGATTGAGCCAAACCACCCAAAATAAACCAAGCAGTCAACAATGTAAACAGACTCATAAAAAATGAGGAGGTTGAAACAGTAATAAAAACCCATTCAGCTAAAAAAATGTCCAGGGCCAGATAAATTCACAGAAGAACCCAGCAGACTTTGAAAGCCAATCTGTCTTAAACTATTCAAAAGAAGAAGAGAAAAGAAATCAAATAAGGAACAGAAGGCGCACTCTTGCACTCCTTCTATGAATCTGGTGTCATTCTAATACCAAAACCAGGTAGACACAACAAGCAAAAGAAAACTACAGGCCCATATCCCCGGTGTACATGGACTCAAACGTTCTCAAAAAATACCTGCAAATAGAATATAGGCAGACATAAAAAAGACTATTCACCATGGCCAAATTAGCTTTATCCCTGAAATGCAGCAATGGTTGACCATACACAAGTCAATAAATGCAATAAACTACATAAATGTACTTGAAGACAAAAAAAAACAAAAAACACCTCATGATCATCTTAATGTTTGGATGGGAGCTCCACCTCAACCTCTGGTACCCTGGCTTCCCTATACTCAAAGAGTCTGGAATATTCTGGTAGAAGCTCCATTTTCAGCCCCTGGCAACCTGGCATCTTATACCCAAAGAGTCTGGAATGTTGTGGTGGAAGATCCATCTCAACTCCCCTCCCCAATTTTTCCCCCAAGCCCGCCCCTTCAAAGCCTGCCAAACTTGGCTCCTCCCCCAGAGAGGCTTAAGACCACTCCCACAGGGTATCTAAGCTGCATCCCAGAAAACAGACTCGTGGTTTTTCTGATCTCTTGTCCCTGTCATCTCTCTGGAGGGGGGCGGGAGAGGGGCGGCGATGGAGAATCAACCCAGAAAGCTTTACCCATTAAATTGAGGCTTTTTCTAATTTGGTCTGATTTGCATTGCTGCATCCGCAGAGAGGTTTATTGGCATGCAAAAACCTTTCCCTTAATACATGATTAGAAAAAAAAAGAAAGAAAGAAAGAAAGAAAGAAAAGAAAACCTTTAACAAAATCCAACATGCTTTCATGATAAAAGTCCTATAGAATGTAGGACTAGGCACGGACACCGGTAAATAGGCATGGGCCAGCATGTCTTTGGGCTAGAGAGCAGGACGTCCATCTTCGGGTCTTAGCTATCGTGGTGTTGATCACCCGGGAGCGAAATAAAAATGGGTGATGTTGAGAAAGGCAAGAAGGTTTTTGTTCAGAAGTGTGCCCAGTGCCACACTGTGGAAAAGGGAGGCAAGCATAAGACTGGACCAAATTTCCATGGTCTGTTTGGGAGGAAGACTGGTCAGGCCGCTGGATTCTCGTACACAGATGCCAACAAAAACAAAGGCATCACCTGGGGAGAGGACACCCTGATGGAGTATCTGGAGAATCCCAAAAAGTACATCCCTGGAACAAAAATGATCTTCGCTAGAATTAAGAAGGGCGGTGGTGGCACACGCCTTTAATCTCAGCAGTCAGGAGGCAGAGGCAGGCGGATCTCTGTGAGTTCGAGGCCAGCCTGGGCTACCAAGTAAGTTCCAGGAAAGGCACAAAGCTACACAGAGAAACCCTGTCTCGAAAAACCAAAAAAAAAAAGAAAAAAAGAAAAGAAGAAGAAGGGAAAGCCGGGCAGTGGTGGCGCACACCTTTAGTCCCAGCACTCGGGAGGCAGAGGCAGGCAGATCTTTGGGAGTTCAAGGCCAGCCTGTTCTACAGAGGGAGATCCAGGAAAGGCACAAAGCTACACAGAGAAACCCTGTCTCAAAAAAAACAAA